ACTACCTCCACCATGTTTTACAGATGATTCTGTGTGCTTTGGATCATGAGCTGTTCCAAGCCTTTTCCACACTTTTTTCTTCCCGTCATTCTGGTACATATTAATCTTAGTTTTATCCATTCAAAGAAAGCTTTACCAGAACTGGTCTGGCTTTTTTAGATGTTTAGCAAAGTCATAGGTCTATTTTGGCTTTTCTATTCAGGCTTATGAATGGTTTACACCTTGTGGTGAACCCCCTGTATTTGCTCTTGTGAAGTCTTCTCTTGATTATAGACTTTGACAATGATACACCCACCTCCTGGAGAGTGTCCTTCACTTGTCTGGATGTTGTGAATGGGTTTTTCTTTACGATAAAGAGGATCCTGTGATCATCCTCCTCTGTCACCCAGGTACAGACTAGCTTGCAGTCCACCACAGATGTCTAAGCACCCTATTCTGCCTCCTCATCCACAGCTACTCCTGCCGTTGCTCCATCAACTGTGATGGAGGAGGCTGCTGAATTGTTTGAGCATAGCGTAAGCCACTTGCTGCAAGAGGATACACAGCAATTATTGGGCTCCAAGGTTAAAGTGGTGCTCCACCCAAAAGGGGAAGTTCCGCTTTAAGGACTGCTCCCCATTAAGGATTGGCACCTTTGGGGGGCGGGTACCTGAATTTGACAGGTACCCGCTACCACTTCCGGTCCAATCGCCTAGGCGATTAGAAACGGAAGGTGTCCTCCCTCCCTGTAGTCTTTTGGGATACGTGACAGGTCACAGAAGACTACAGGACCATTCTTGAAGAGCAGCGCTACTCGCACATGCGCAGTGGGTACCCGGCTGTGAAGCCGCAAGCTATCACAGCTGGGTGCCCACATTGAAGATGCCGGCCTCCTGGAATACAGGACGGCCGGTGAAATGGGCTGCGGGGGACACACCACGGGACCAAGGGACAGGTAAGTGGCTGTTTTTTAAAAGTCGGCAGCTACAGTTCTTGTAGCTGATGACTTTTATTTTTTGACAGGGTGAGTGGAACTCCGCTTTAAGAATTAAAGTAATGGAAGCCTAGAAGGAGAGGACACCAGACAGGTAGAATCAAATGGCAGTGATGTTCCCATAGTCGCAGCCAAGTTGGCTCAAGTAATGAGAAGGGAGAGGATGAGGATGAGATCCCTGACAGTACCTTGCTGCCCAATAGAGCATAAGAGGATAGAAATGCAGAAGTACAACCCTAGTTTGGCAGGATGTCAGCATCTGCATGGGGATAATCAGAGAAGGGACAAGCATAGGCAGCAAACTTGCTCTGACTCTGCCAACCCCACCACACCAGCTGTGGTATTGAGCAGACAAGTTTTGCAGCCATGACTGCTAGAGCGTGGGGAAAAAAATATACCTCCAGCCTTCTCTATGCCCAGCACCACGTAAATGCCAGCTTGGCCAAATTGCTGACTCTCCAACTCCTGCCTTTCCAGCTTGTGGATTCTGCTCCCTTTCAGAAATTTGTGATGTACCACAGAGGAAGATTCCGCTATTTCTTTGCCTGTAAGGCCATCCCTGACCTTCACCATCACATAAAAAGGCAAAATTTCCACATTGCTGGGTGGCACAGTCAGCAGCAACGTCCACATGATCACAGACACATGGTCCAGCAAGTATGGATGGGGCACTACATATAATTTAAGGCTCACTGGGTGATTCTCCTGGCAGTCAGGGAAGATGCAGAACATGTGAACACAGCTGGAACTCATTCAGTCACCCCACATCCTTACAGCTGCTGGTGACTGTGCCAGAGCTGTCCCCTCTATCTCCTCCTACCCCTCTTCCTTAATGCCCTATTCTGCTAAGTTGTTCTCAGATTCACCAGTACACCTTAAGCGTTCAGAAGGCTAGTCTATGGTTAAAAAAGGTTAAAAGATGCCACATAGTGCTGCAGCTGGTATTCCAAATGGACAGGAGCCACACTGTGATAGAGATTCACTCAGTTCTGAAGGTGCAGGCCCAGAGCTGGTTAACCCTGTGGCAACTTGTGCCAGAAATGGTGGTGTAGCACCAACCTGCTGTATGCCCTCTAGCAGGGAAAGCTACACATGTGTCTTGCCTGATGCATCAGTCTGATGGTGCAGCAGTTCCTGGATAGGTACCAGGGTTACAAGATCATCTGAGGCAGGCCAGAAGGGTTTGTAGCCACTTCAGGCAGTCCTACCCAGACAGTGTTTGGTTGGGTGAAATTCAGTGGTAATTACATCTGCCCACAAACCCCCTGATCTGTGACATGCCCTCCAAATGGAACTCAACTTTGGTTATGTTGCATATACAACAAAGGGCCATCAACGAGTATCTGTGTGAGTATGGCATGAGGACAGGCTCCCCGGGAGCTGGACTTTTTTTTTTTTCACACCAGTGGCTGCTGATACAGGATGCATGCACTCTATTGTCACCATTAAAGAAGGAGACAAGAATGATGAGCCATGGTGATGCATGCATCAGCAACACTGTGCCAGTCGTGTTCCTGCTGGAGCATACACTGTGTGGCATCATGGACAGGGCATTTGAAGCACAGCAGAATCAGGAAAAGACGGACTTGCATTTCAGGGCCTGCTTTATCAAGATGCTATCCCTGTGAGGCCACAGCAGGCACAGGAGAAGGAGTATGAATGTTGTAGGACATTAAGGCTGAAATGACACAGAGCAGTCTTCCAGGGTGGGTTTCATGCCTCTCAAACCCTGGGAGTGGTACATGACTGCAGGGAGATAGCTGCGGATAACATCAACCTTAGTGATCACATGGACTCTGGTTTCCCTCCCTCCAGTAATTTGTGGTGCATTAGCTCCCTCCCATTAGCTCCAGAGCCTGCAAAAGGACCATAATAGTTGTGGCAGTAAGAAAAGGGATCATTACTGGTTGACAACCCTCCTTGATCCTTGTTACAAGGTTACATAGTTCATCCTGCCCTCACAAAAGGAGCAGAGGATGAAACATCTGGAGGATGTATTATGAAGAAACCTGTGTCAGTCAGTTCCAGAGACTGGCCGAATAAAGTATTATGCACAAGGTGTCTCCAAGCCTCCTGCTGATGAAAGGAGAAGCTGTGAGGCTGGTTACCTGAGTGAAGCCTTTAAAAACTGTTTTGGTTCTCTGCTCCCAGGGTTGCCTGCTTCTAGCACCTATGGCAGGGACTGCATGACATGGTGGCCAGTTATCTGGGGTCAAGAGCAGATTTAACTACTGGTTCATGAGGATGAACCACTGTTCAAAGCTTGTCCAGTATGCAATTGAGCTGCTGGGCTGTCCTGAAGCCAACATGCTTTCTGAACATGCATTCAATGCATTGAGGGGGCTTTGTGACAAACAAAAGAGTGCATCTGTCCATGAACACTGTTGACCAGCTGACATTGAAAATTAATCTGTATTCAATCAATAGCAGCTCCCAAGCATTTCTGCAGATGCTTTTCGTTAAATATTGGGGGGATTCTGCTTCTACAACAGTGTTCTTGCAAAAGAAGTTTTAATGTGACATCTGCAATTTTTAGCAGCTGTGAATTTGTGCTGTGCTCTGAAGGATCTTGTCTGTGGGTTGCACTGTTTGGGCACCATCCACACCTAAAACCAATTTTTTTGCAGCTATAAAACAGTTGCACATGGGTGAATGTTTGTTAAAGCAGGGTCCATTCTGTGCTCTACATGAATTCTACAGTGAACTTACAGCATTTGGGCACCCTCCACACCTAAAACCCATTTTTTAAAGCTATGTTATAGTTTTACATGTGTGAATGTTTGTTACAGCAGATTCCATCCTGTGCTCTATATGAATTTTTATGTGGGCTTATGGTGTTTGGGCACCACCAAACACAATTGTGTTGCAGCTGTGACACAGTTGCTGATAGAGTGAATGTTTATTAAAGCAGTGCCCATCCTGTGTTCTACAGGAATTTTTCAGAAAGCTGACAACATTTGGGCACCATCCACATCTAAAACCCAATTGTTTTGAAGCTCTGTTTCAGTTGAACATGCATGACTGTTTGTTAAAGCAGCATCCATCCTATGCCCTGCGGGATTTTTTTTTTTGGTGGGCTTACAGCATTTGGGTACCATCCATACCTACAACCCAATTTTTTGCACAACTATGTTATAGTTGTACATGCATGAATGTTTGCTAAAGCAGGGTCTATCCTGTGCCCTGCATTAATTGTGGGCTTATGGCATTTGAGCACCATCTTCATAAAAAACCCAGGTTTTTGCAGGTATGCAACAGTTTTACATATGTGAATGTTTGTTAAAGCAGGGTCTATCCTGCAGGAATTTTTCTGTGGGCTTACAGTGCTTGGGAACCATCTGCACCTAAAACCCAATTTTTTCATAGTTATATAGTAGTTGCACATACGTTAATGTTTGTTAAAGCAGAGCCCGCTCTTTGCTCTGCAGGACTTTTTCTGTGGGCTTCCAGTGTTTGGGTACCACCAACACCTATCACCCAATATTTTCACTGCTGTATGATGGTAGCACAACATGAGATCCATGTTCAGATCGCACCTCAGACAGCAATAGACAGGCAGCGATGAGGCATTGTGTTGCCTTCTTACTGCCTGTTTTAAGCCTCTAATTATAGGACAACCAGGCAGTTGTAGCACAGCACCATTCCTACAGCATGGGTCGCAGCTGGGGGGCAGTGCTGCCTGCCAAGCATGACAGGGCATATACAGTAATTCCTGCCATAAATGTGAAATAAAACATGCTAGCTGTGGCATGTATACACTCCAAGCTGCTGCCTCAACAATAACATGGAGAAGCAGTTGACAGGTGATAAAAACGCAGCTCAACCATGGTGCTTTACCACCCCTCAAAAGCAAATGTAAAAGAGGCCTTATGGATGCATAAATTGTTCAAATTTTAGGCAATGCTAAATACTGCTTGGCCAATTATTTTTGGGTTAGATATGCAGTGCAACTTAATTGAAAATGCACAACAGATTATGTTTCCTCTTGCGTCGCCCTAGCTGTGAAATTTAGAATATACACTCTTTAACCTCCCTGGAGGTATTCCCGAGTGTAGCTCAGGGTAAAGTTTCAGCACCACAAGTGGTAACCCCGAGCTACACTCGGGAATACCCTGCATCGTTGCTCCAGGATCTCTGCTTCACTTACCTTGTCCATCATTCCCGCAATGTCCCCCCTGCAGCGTCCCCAGCCATGTCCTCCGGCTGATACTGGCATCCGTCTTCTGGGTTCCGTTCCCTGCGACGTCGGGACGTACGGGGACGGAATTGCGGGAAATTTAAAAATGTGAAAAAGTGACATTTACTAAATACACTAAAATCACATAGTAAAACATTACTGTATCAAACCATTTCACATACATTTTGTCCCTAGTGCTTTGTCCTGTGCCCTGCCTGCATTTTTACTGTTCTTTCTGCCTGGAAACTGAGAAACGTCCATGGCATCCAAAAAGCGTCCCTTTAGGTCAAAAGCGGTTTTAGACCAGCTAGAGAACAGCGATAGTAAATCAGAACCACTTGCAGAATGAGTGATAATGATTCGTGGGGAAATTCGTCATCAGACACTGAAAACGATTTTGCGACTTTGCTCAGTGATGTGCAAACTTGGCCCTATATTTCAAATTTCAGTGTTTTTGGTTTGATTATATTATTGAATTAAATTTATTATTATATTATTATTTTTTATGATTATTTATTAAATTATAATTTATGATTTCATGTTTCAAATTTTAACATACCTGGGATGTTTACTAGACTCTTGTTCGGACAGATTTCAGTGAGTTATGCCTAAAAATTACAGGCATACAATAAAAAAAATACATATTTCCATGCAAAATAATGTACCACTTTGAGCACAGAAATACTGACATAATCAGACTGCTAGGGAGGCTACAGTGGAGTGGCCTAAGATACCTTACATGAAAACCATCTGGTCTCATTCTTTACCTCTCTTAATTACAGCCTGTAAAACTCTCCCAAATAGTAGCCATGCTGAAATGGTTTACAAAGTGTGCATAAAATCTGTAAAATGTGTATGTCCACACTCTATGAAATAGGAAACACATTTTTAGGGTACCACGATCCCTTATAAATTGCAACCATGACCATAAAGGCTTCAAATTTGTGTTACAAAAACAAAGACACTTATATACAGTATAATGTCCTGGTGTAAAAATGCCTGCCTTTTCTATAACTTCAAAATTCCAAACTGTCCATACTAGTTTCTTAGTTGTGTTGCTAAGCTATATGCTTTTTAAATCCTAAATGTAATTGTTTATTTCCCGATGCTAAATGCCTGCTCAATCTCTCAGAAATTGCAGCCTGTTCAAACAGGATATGGCTGTTGTGCAGGCCTGTATGCTATTTCCTTTGACTATGTAAAAAAAAAAGACACAGTTTTGTTCCTTATGCTAAATGCCTGCTCAAGTTCTCAGAGATTGTGGCCTGTCCAAACAGGCTTTTTAGCTATGGTGGAAAGCTATTTCCAGCTATTTTCTTTTTATGTTAAAAAAAGATATTATTTTTAGCAGAAAATAAATGCCTGCTCAAACTCTCCGAAATTGCAGCCTGTGCAAAAAGGCTTTCTAACTGTGGTGCAAATTCATATGCTATTTCCATCTTCGGTGACCAAAAAAGACACCATTTTTTTCTAATGCTAAATGTCCACTCAAGCTCTCAGAAATTTCAGTCTTTTTAGTGGTGTTGCAAACCTAAATGCTTTTTCTAGGGATGGGCTTGATGTTCGAGATGAACGTAAGTTCAACTCAAACATCGGCCATTCATGTGTTCGCTGAACACACGAATGGTAAGAGCATTCGGCGAGCTATTCACCTGCATTGCACTCTCACAGTGCATTGTGATTGGTCAAAGCAATGCACCTGACCACAGGTCAGGTGCAATGCTTGGGCCAATCACAGCCTAAATGGATGAAGCAAACTGACATCACCAGTAGCTCCATGCAATTGTTTACATCTGACTGGCAAATGTCAGATTGTGGCGAGTGCTCAGTAGGTGTGGATGAGTCGGCGGGGGTGTGGGTTTTTTTTTTCTTATCCCGGTGAGTCAATGTTGAGACAATGTTGGACGCTATGATTGACGATGTATTACAACAATTAAATAAATTTTTTTTTCAATAAAGGACGTTAAAAAGCTGTTGTTTTGTTTTTTGTTCAATAAAGGAATTTTTCTAAAATCTGGTACCCCTTAATTAATAAGTGGGGACAGCATCAGGGCGCCCCCTTGTTTAAAGGGGTAACCTGATGCTAATGAGCACCCCTGCCCACAGACCCCCACAATCACGGGCAATGGTTGTGGGGAAGAGGCCCTTCTCCCCCTTGCCGAGGGCACGTGGCCTGGTAAGTCATTCCCCCCCCCCTTTCTTACCCTGCCAGGCCTGTGCTTGGATCAAAGGTCTAGTCGGAATTTATGGGGAACCCCCACGCTTCCCCCCTCCCATTTTTTTGGGAGTGGGTTCCCCTTAACCACTTGCCTACCGGGCACTTATACCCCCTTCCTGACCAGCCCAATTTTCAGCTTTCAGCGCTGTCGCACTTTGAATAACAATTGCGCAGTCATGCAACATTCTACCCATATGACATTTTTATCATTTTTTTCACACAAACAGAGCTTTCTTTTGGTGGTATTTACTCACCGTTGGGTGTTTTATTTTTTTGTGCTATAAACAAAAAAGCAACAAATTAAAAAAAAAAAAGTTTTCTTTGTTTCTATTATAAAATTTTGCAAATGGGTAATTTTTCTCCTTCACTGATGTGCGTTGATGAGGATGCACTGATAGGAAGCACTGATAGGCACTGATAGGTGGCACTGATGGGCACTGATAGGCGGCACTGATAAGGTGGCACAGATAGGCAGCACTGATAGGCAGCACTGATAGGCGGCACTGACTGATGGCACTGCTGGGTGGCACTGATGGGCGCACTGATGGGTGGCACTGCTGGGCTGCACTGATGGGCAGTGGTGGATGGCACTGGTGGGCACAGGTGGGTGACACTGCTGGGCACTTCTGGGCGGCACTGCTGGGCACTTGTGGGAGTCACTGCTGGGTGGCACTGCTGGGGACCGATCATCAGAGCACTGATCATCAGTGATCAGTGTGTCATTGAACACGTTTGATCACATGGTAAAAGGCCGCTGTGATTGGCCTTTTACCACATCACGTGATCAGCTGTGTCTGTAAGACACAGCTATCATGGAGATCGCCGGGTGCGCAACCCAGAGGGTGAGCAGGAGAGCGGGTTCTGGAAGGACTTCATATGACACTCTCCCAGAACTGGCTAGCCGCAGTGAAGCCATAATTTGGCTATCTGCGGTCAGCAATCAGTTAAATATCTTACTAGGCCTAAAGGGCCTGGTAGGGCTTTTAGGGGGAGCCCCACACACTGTTTTCAACACCATTTTTGGGAGGTGGGGTTCCACTTAAAAGTCCTACCAGGCCTACCGGGCCTAAAGGGGATATACTCTTTTTTTTGTGTTTTTTTTTTTTTATAAAAATGGCTTTTTCTAATTAAATGTCAGTCCTGCTGCAGCAGGTTCTAAACAGGTAGTTTAAGGATGACCCCCAGGCATGATAATAAAATGAATTTTTCTTTTTTTTTTTTCTTTGAGCAATGAAAAATGCCCCTTTAAAAAAATTGTATTTTTTATTTCACTGATTCATGTTCCTCAGGGCAGTACCCAAGTCCCCATACTCCTTTTATGCCCAATAACTTGCATATAAACCCTGCAAAACGGTTACTTTTGAATTTACAAGTTTGAGTCCTGTTGACTTGCATTGATTTAGAGTTCGCAATCGAACATTCATTAGGGTCAAATGTTTGATCACGAACCGAACACAGGGGTGCTTGGCCCATCATCAGTGTCCCCAGTGTCTTCAGAAGCTAAATTCCTGCAAACAGATGCAAAGTGCCTCCTTAATCTCTCAGAAATTGTGGCCTGTTCAAAATAGCTTTCTAGCTGTAGAAAAACTTGGTATGCTATTTTCATTGTAGGAAAAAAAAATATTTTAGTTTTCAAATGGTAAAAGCCTACTTAAAATCTCAGAAATTGTGGCTTGTCTTAAACGTTTTCTAGCTGTAGTGCAAATCTCTATGCTATTTCCATCATCAGTGCCCCAAAAAGACCAATGTTTTTTAGATGCTAAATGCATGTTCCAGCTCTCAGAAATTGTGGCCTGTTCAAACTGAGTTTGGACAGCTTTCTACCTGTGGTGCAAATCTGTATGCTATTTCCACATAATTTCCAGATGCTAAATGTCCACTTAAGCTCTCAGAAATTGAGATTTGTCCAAACTGGCTTTGAATCTGTGGTGCAAACCTGTATACTTTTTCCACCCTCAGTATCCAAAAGGATTCACTATTTAATTATTTTTCTAGATGCTACATGCTTGTTCACACTGTCTGAAATCGCAGCCTGTTCAAAAAGGCTTTCAAGCTGTAGTACAATTCTGTATCATGTCTCCATTGTCAGTGTCCAAAAAATACACCATTTTTTTTTCAAATGCAAACATGCCCACACAAGCTCCTAGAAACTGCAGCCTGTACAAACTGACTTTTAAGCTGTGGTGCAAATGTGTATGCTATTTCCATCTTCAATGTCCAAAAAAAAGACACTGAAATTTATTTTTTTATGGATGCTAAATACCTGCTCAGTCTCTCACAAAGCTGTGGGGCACATTTGTATGCTGTTTCTATTTTTGTTATCTAAAAAAGATTTTTTTTCTTTGTTCAGATGTTAAATGCCCCTCAAGACCTCAGAAGATGCAGCATTTCCAAACTGCCGTTATAGCTGTGGTGCAAACCTGTATAATTTTTGAACCCCCAATGTTAAAAAAAGACACTATTTTATTTTTTTGGTTGGCAAACAACACGTTGTGTTACTGAATAGACCACAACAAGCTATGCTCTGTGACTTGTTTTGCCCCTATTAATATGACATTGATAGCTTTAGCTTTTTTGTTTTACAGTATACACAATATATATATATATATATATATATATATATATATATATATGTAAATACGTTATATTGCCAAAGTATTGGGACACCTCTCCAAATCATTGGATTCAGGTGTTCCAGTCACCCCTGTGGCCACAGATGTATGAAATCAAGCACCTAGGCATGCAGGCTGCTTCTACAACCATTTGTAAAATAATGGGTTGCTCTGAGGAGCTCAGTGAATTCAAGCATGGTAGGTTGCCACCTGTGCATTAATAAGTCTATCCATGAACTTTCCTTGCTACTAAATATATAAATCAGTGGTATTATAACAAAGTGGGAACAACAGCAACTCAGCCAGGAAATGGTAGGCCACGTAAAATGACAGAGCGGGGACAGCACATGCTGAAGCGCACAGTGTGCAGAAGTTGCCAACTGTCTGCAGAGCTAAAGACCTCCAAGCTTCATGTGGCCTTCAGATTAGCACAACAACAGTGCATAGAGAGCTTCATAGAATGGGTTTCCATGGCCAAGCAGCTGCATCCAAGCCTTCCATCACCAAGTACAATGCAAAGCGTCGGATGCAGTGGTGTAAAGCACACCACCACTGGACTCTAGAGCAGTGGAGACGTGCTCTCTGGAGTGACTAATCACGCTTCTCTGTCGGGCAATCCGATGGACGTGTCTGGGTTTGGTGGTTTCCAAGAGAACAGTACTTTCTTGACTGCATTGTGCCAAGTGTAAAGTTTTGTGGAGGGGGGAGTATGGTGTGGGGGTTTGTTTTTCAGGGCTTGGGCTTGGCCCCTTAGTTCCAGTGAAGGGAACTCTTAAGGCATCAGTATACGACATTTTGGATAATTTCATGCTCCCAAGTTTGTGGGAACAGATTGGGCGTCAGGGTCCCGTCCACAGCAGAGGTTCTGGAAGATCTGGCAGTTCTGCCAGTACTCTTCATGGCCACAGAAGGACACATCAGCCTCAGTCTGGTGCCAGACGGCCTTTATAAGGAGGCTCATCACTTCCTGTAGTTGCTGGATGATCTTTAGCTCCCCATGCCCTGTTCCTGTTTCCTGTGACTTGACCCGTGATCTCCTGTTACCGACTCGGCTTGCTCCTGGACCTGTCTACTCTGCTTTACCCCTGATCTGACCTTGGCCGAGCTTACGGATACTCTCTCTCTCGCTCCTCTGTGCATGACCTCGGCTATCCAATCTGACTACGTCTGCTCTGATTCCCACCTGGCACCTGACCTTGGCTTGAACTGACTACCCAGTAAACACCTAAATCCCGGAAGGGCTTGCATACCACTCACAGGCGCCTCCTGTCTGCTGACCTATCTCCAACTGTGCTTCTGAGTGGACCACCAACCAGCACTCCTACAGGCGACCTGTGCAACTTTGGGCCTGACTCCCGCTGTCCCACTCTCAGGGGAGTCCGGAACTTGGCCACAAGGGAAGCCCTCTCTCCATTGGCATCCATCACCAGGTACGTGGTATTGGGGATGGCCCCTTCCTGTTCCAACATGACTGTGCACCAGTGCACCAGTGCACAAAGCAAGGTCCATAAAGACATGGATGAGCGAGTTTGGGGTGGAGGATCTAGACTAGCCTGCTCAGAGTCCTGACCTCAACCCAATAGAACACCTTTGGTATGAATTACAGCGGAGACTGCGAGTCAAGCCTTCTCGTCTGACATCAGTGCCTGACCTCACAAATGCGCTTTTGGAAGAATGGTCAAACATTCCCATAGGCACACTCCTAAACCTTGTGCACAGCCTTCTTAGAAGAGTTGAAGCTGTTATAGCTGCAAAGGGTGGGCCAACACAATATTGAACCCTACGGACTAAGACTGGGATGCCATTAAAGCTCATGTGCATGGAAAGGCAGGCGTACCAATACTTTTGGCAATATAGTGTAAGTATAACAACAGTTTTTGGCTGCATTGCCTCTTCTGTTTCTAACACTCAGTTATTACTTCTGCACAGAAAATCTTTTTTGCAAAAACTACCCATTACAAATTTCTTGTGGGATGAAAATCAGTCATATTATTCTGCTGCTGCTGTATGCAAGCCACGCAGTTAGGTAAAAGTAAAGTACATGAAGAGACATGCAATTTATGTGGTGTCATATTATGGTGATGTTGATACTGTCCACAAGCGTTTTAACGTACTGTAATTCCAGTTTTAAGGCAACCCCAAGCATGTTGTTTCAGTGAATTACATATTTTTTTTTATGTTGCTCTTCTATGATTAGTTTAAAAGTTGGCTTTATACAGCTCAATGTAATCAAACAATGAGATTTGCAATGGCTTACCCAAGTGGGTATTAATGTGATAATAAGTGCTTCTTAGCAGTGGAAATTTGTGTCCCACACAGGAGCATTCCTACAGAAATACTTGCACAAGATAATTGCTATTACTGTATTTTCTTGTCTTGAAAAAAAAAAAACCTTTAGACATATTTGTGCTCTAAAACTTATTTACTAAAACTGTCTAGAACATTTCCTATCTCACATTTTGAGAATCTAAATGACTGTGCCTAATACACAGTAAATCCTCTTGTGTGTACCAATCTTGTTAACAAAAGCACAACATTTCCACATACTTAACTCTGCTAATTAGGTTATGTGTCTTTGAGTTAGGTCACCTTGCATCTCTCTCAGTTGATCTCTATTTAGACAAAGAAAAAGAGAGTAGATTACAGATTCAAAAGCAGAAGCTTAAAATGTTTTAAGAAAAAGATCCTCTTTGGAACTTTAAATCTCCTAGGCTATATAAAGCCAAATCGCACATATAAACTTGGCCAGTTGTATTTACGCTTCTTTTCTATGTCTCAACACCACTTGTTATAGTAAGTCAATTACAAAAATGAGGGCAGCGAACATGTCGGCTCAGAAGATTCCTGGACCCTTTGAAGGACCCCAGTGGCCTCACCTTGCCCCTCGTAGTACCTATTTGATTATAGCAGTCCTCATGGGTTTAGTGGTGGTCCTAGCTACTTTTGTTAATGGTATGGTTATAGCAGTCACAATTACGTATAAGAAGCTAAGGTCCCCTCTGAATTACATACTAGTCAACCTTGCCATAGCTGATCTGCTTGTCACTATTTTTGGGAGTAGTGTTTGTTTCCACAACAACATCTTTGGGTACTTTACTTTAGGCAAAGCATTGTGTGAATTTGAAGGATTCATGGTATCCCTAACAGGTAAGATAAAAATTTATGATGTCTTAATAGCATTTTAATATTGCCCATATGTTAAATAAATTGCAATAGATCAATTGCAAAATGCTAATTCAAATGAATAGTATTTATTTCAATATGGGTATGCATTCTGTCTGCCTAACATACTGGACTGAAAAATGTGTGTAGGGTATAAAATTAGCCATATACTAGCTAGTTGTGGTATAATAGTAGTGGTGTTCATTATATCATATACTAAAATAATTGTAATTAAATATGATTTTATGTTAGCTGTTATTTAAAAAAAAAGACAGCGTTGTTACCATCTGTATGTATGTTAATAGATGTTTATTTTACTGTGTGGCAAATTTTGCTTTTTAGAAGCAGTAAAAACAAAACTAATTACAGTTCTTAAAGATTGACATTCATTGTCAATGCTAATTAATGCCAAAAAAATAAAAAAAAACAACAATTTGGGACATAGCTATAAAGCAGTGACTGTGACATTGATCTCACATACACTGGTAAATCACTGGGAAGATTTGTCAGCAAAATGTACAATTATCAGTTGTTCAAAGGAATTTACAGTACTGTTTACCTAATTTATACCCTGGTACATGGTTCAGTCATTGCACATTCCCCAAAAACATGCTCGAATGGTGAAAATGTATTTTAAATTATGTTTTATTAGTATGGAAGTGCAAGAACTGTGGCTAACAGACCATTTGATACTTTTATAGTGATGTTACTCTGGTATATCAATATGTTATCATTGAAAACAATACATTTAACTGTAATACTAATTTAAAAATAGAATATGAAGAAAGGTGTTTGAAAATATAGTAAACTCGTTTACCGCAGACTAACCAAAACTGATGTATATTAATACGTGATTTTATATATTTGTATTTATATATTTGAAACTTGCTTCTTAATAGGACTGTGCATTAATTCATTATATTTTTATGAAAAAAAGATCTGTGGGCAGAGAATTAATACATGTACAAAATCAGAAACTTTAACATTCAGTGAAGCTACTCCAATCCACTTCTTATTAAATGCATAAATTATGCATGCATAAAAACAACAGTCTAATGGCATTCATTTGGTAAACAATTCTCCAATCTAGCAAAGAACTGGGCAGATGAGGACTTGTATACTAGAATGTTTAATGCATAGCTCTTCTTGAAGGTGCAAAGCAAGCACGCAGCAGAAAATAGAATGCATAATCCTCTACATAAAATTGCAATATTTCGAGCCAATGGACAGGCTCTTTTTCAAGCATGGAATACAAAGAAAGCAAACAAAAGCCATCCTCTAAATAGCCTTACCGAAATTAGCAAACACCAATGAAAACATAACAACTCCTTGAAACATCCAAACAAAAAAGTATAGTACGACTATAATACATAAGGAGAAAAAAACAAAAGACAAAAAAAAGTCAACCTATAAACTCATAATTGGCTGTTGTATAAAAAAAAAAAACCCGCTATAAAACGGGGGGGTAATTGGTGTACTTTATGTTGTCTGTTTACTACATTCCATCTTGCATGTACCCCTTTTACTTTAATGAATAAAAGATTTTATTTTATATTCCTAGGTTATGTAATAGGCACAATTGGCATTAATAAAATGGTGTTTTTCAATTGCCGATTCCAAAGGCACAGATTTCATGGATGAAGCTAACAAATTACATGTATCAAAGCATGGGATGTATTCATAATACTTAGTTTCCCATCAATTTCATGCTTGGAATAAGGGGAGGAGCTTTTGTTGTCCTCACATTATTGTGTGACAAGTACAGTTGAAAGGTGTACACATAGAACACATAGAAATGGAGTGGGTGGAGCCAGCCATGTGTTTGTATTTTTATATAGGTCCCCATCAGTTCTGCTTTCATGGCCAGGTGGTGAGGCTAATATTACTAATAAGCTATAATATGATGTTTTATCATCAGTTTTCTTTCTAGTCAGCTGTTAGCATGAGTTTTATATGGCTATATGTAGCTTAATACAACTTCGAGGTGGCTACCTTAGGTCCTCCCATGTTTTTTCACAATTAAATATTGCAAGAACTTTTTTGGGTAATTTCGTATGACAAAAGGATTGTTTAGGGTTTTTTCCTTGTACTCCATGTTCCAAAAAATATATCCAGTGGCTAAAAGTTTTGTAATTCTATGTGGAGTGTTTTGTACTTTAACTTGCTGCTACCTGCTTGTTTTGGACCTTAATAAAGGGCTATATGAAAATAATGTTCCTTGGTGGGGACAACTTTTGCTACATTGCTTAATGAGAAACTCCAACATCCTATGCTATTTGTAGAAATACACAATACATTCACTGAACATTAATTGTACATTTGCAGCACATTTACCCAGAATTCTAGTACTGTAGATGAAACAATCACCAGCAATATAAATGCAGAGAATGTTACTAGCAAATTTCGTGGTGATTGTAACCATTTATTTTTGTCAGTAAAATCTATTGTGTATTGGCCCATATAAAACTAGACAACAATGATATATGTTTTAAAATGTATATCTTTAGATGTATAAGAGATTTGGAAACAAAAAAAAGTAGTCATTCAGATCATTATATACTGGGACCAGAGAGCTTAAAAAAGTATATGACGATGAAAGAGGATTCAACTTAACCAGTCCTGGACTGGCCATAGAGCACACTGGGCATTTGCTCGGTGGGCTGGGGCTGCCTGTGTAGGAGAGGCGGCAGGGTAGCAAGTGGATTTTTGAAATGAAGACTTTGACCCCCGCAGGTCATAATGTAGAAATTGACATCAACTGTTTCATAGATAATAGCTGAGGGGCCATGGTTTCTATACACCAGGACTGCCTACACAGTATCTTCATAATTTATACAGCTATACGGTTTTATATATCCATTTTATCCATTTATTATATTCATTTAGTTAAACGTTTACAGTATATACGTTTATAATTTATAGATTATATTTTATAAGCTTTGAAGTTTTATGTATATTTAAGTTCTTATATAACACACCTTTCATGAGGTTTTCTATATTGATATGGACACTTGCATATATTAATAATTTTAATTATTTGATGTGTATGATGTACTATATAGATGAGGAATGCATAGTTTCTCAATTTTGTATATTGATGTTTAATCTGACATAATGCTCCTGGTCCTATGTACATCTATCTTATTTTATTATATTATTATATTGTTCTATATGAATTCAGTTGTTGCTGTTCCCACAGACGCATTTGGGTCCGCACGATATCAGTGTGTTTGGCACCAGTAAAATGGTGAACGCGATATTCGCGCATGTGTGAAACTACGTGCGCTCGTGTTGTTTAGAATCTCCAATAAAATGGCGATCTTGGCGCCCACGCATGCGCAGTGTTACACGCACCCACTACATCTAGGGTTTCCATGAATGTGGCGTCCGTGCCACTTGCGCATGCGCAGTGGAGGATATTCAGGCGGGATGCCTATATATAGACCCATTTAGACGTCAGGCAGCAATGGCATCACCCTTACAGTAGACGTATGGTTATACGAAATGCGTCTAGGAGGAGCCCTTGCACGCCTTGACATCACGCCGCCGTATCAAGGAGGTCCGGCGGCACCTATTTGCATATATACTGGTATCCATACATTTGTTGCTCGGATCTGAGCATTTAACCCCAGCCCAGGACGACCCCAGACGTCCCATTGAGACCAGAGGAAGGAAGCGATAGACCTAGGCTGCATCCTACCTGAGGAACCCCCGGAGGACATCAACATCCGATTCGACTGCCCCCTCATCCAATGTCCAGCTGACCCTGGATTCTCAAATGCGCATATTATTTGCGCTTCTGGTTAGTAGGCAATCTTACCACTTCTTCACTGGATATCTCACTGGATTTTTGAATAGAATTGTCACATCAGCACTTCTCATTTCCAGCAAAGGACCTGTTTACCTGGGACTGTGCTCCACAATTTGCATATTGAAATTTACATAATCGTATCAGAGTTTGTATTGATATATGATTGGTTTTTAGCGCTGCACTACATCTTTTTATCTTTTTGCTTGCTATTGAAGGGTAGCATACAGAAGAACAAATCCATGGCTGCAGGAGAGAAATGGACGGATTGGTTCTTCGATATGCTTGCCTCTCCTATCCATCTTCTTTCTGCTGCCCCGGGCCCCTGTTCTCTCTTTAGGTCCCCTGTGCTTTCTCCCGGCCCCCTTCCTCCCCCTCAGCACTGCCAGGTTCCCCCCTCTCCTCGACTTGTGCAGGGAATCTGTGTTTACTATATTTCAGTTTATGAATGAATGGGAAACTCTGTACAGAGCTGTTCCTGTCCATTCATTCTGTACAACTGAGGCTGCAGAGATGTAGAGATATTAGGGGTCTGTTTAGACCCCTGATATCTTTCCAAAGCCCCCCAACGGGGCTCCTATAAAAAATTGTAAAAAATTATTTAAATAAAAATTGTAAAAATAAATAAATAAATCAAATACAATGGCAAAAAATAATAATAACAAAATAAAAATAAAAAACTACTGACACAAGTGGCGATACTACAAAGGTCACAATTGAGACCAGGCCCTGGCGTTCCAACACTGGCTCCAAAGGAAGGGTCCCCGGGCTTGAGGCTGCACAGTCCAAAATTCCTGAGCCTATTTTTTGTCCCAGTCCAGGCCTGAACTAAACAGATTTATAAGTAACTAAAACACTTTGTAAAAATAGAATCAGACAAATGTGTTAGCTCATGGCTGCCATCAGTGCCAGGGGCAACCATTTACTGCCTAATTAGGGTAGTACCTATGATTATACTTCTACACAACCAGAGACACTGTGTATTGGGGGAATATATAAATGTTAACGTAAAGCCTCTGGTGGAATCTGACCTATCTATAGGATACTATACATATGATTCAGATTTTACAGAATATTATTAATCCAATGACATTTTTTGACAGTGTCTCCTCTCTTCAAGATTTTCTGGTATGACAGTTACTTTTTAAAAGATACAATAATGGCCATAGGTGCCAAA